AGCAATCCCTGATGAAATCGCAGGAGTTACCAAGGCCTCTGGATAGGGGCTGGCAATAACTCTCTAGGGGAGAGCTTGGACCTATATGGACAACTCTTCTGGTGGCATGAAAGAGCTGTCATACTGGTCCAAGTGCGTAAAAGCATTTCTCACGTGCACTGCACTTTTCTGATTCAGTCAAACTAGACTACAATAACACTCAAGACGTGATTGCGTAACCTTCCACTGATTGATGAGATAGCTACTTTTACATTGATGTTGAAATGAAACATGTTTGCGTTGATTTTGATATGTTTTGTTATAAGTGATCTATAGCCAACCTAGCTCATACATTATACATGTAAGTAAATCTAATGATATATTCCTTCAAATAAACTTCCATCTGTTCTCACAATATTCTAGATACATAATTTATGAGGAATTAAAATTGAGTTAAAATAACATTTTTATGGAAAATTCTTTTTTCCCTACTCCCACCCCCACCCCCAAAAATGTAAAATGGCCAAATTCTGCGAGGCTTCTCGTATTGAATTTGCAAAGAAATGATAAAACATGTTAGATCATGGGATGATCTCATACTTATTTTACTGTTAGTAGTCTATATGGCGGCCATTTTGAAAAAATGGCCGCCAATTTTCCCATTTTCGGGTAGTCATGGTATAAACTGACTTCCGCAGACCTAACTGTCAAAGATAAAAGGCATGCGTAGATGGAAATTGATCAGCTATGAATTTCCTACAAATCGGTATATGACCTATGAGAATTGGCGAATTTTGAAAGAAGTTATGATGAACACAGTAAACAAAATAATATTTTTTTACTTTTCCCCAACATTAAGAAAAATATATAACATCTGCGAAGCCTCTCGATCTTTATTTAATAAGAAGGGCATAAGCTACAATCATGCCAAATTTCATGCTGGTAACACAAAGTGCACAATTTGATCAATTATCCGCTGGGCTACCAACCACCCGGGAGTACTAAAGAGAGTTAGCGGGTCAAAGAGAGAGGGAGACAGACACACACACACATTCACTCACTCACTCCACTCACTCACTCACTCACTCACTCACACTCACTCACACTCCTCACCCACTCACTCCTCTCACAGAGGTAAGGAGGAATTTAGGAATGAAGGAGGGATATCAGATCACTAATGACCGACCCTGACATCAACAAACACAGATCAAATGCAGACCTTTTATTTAGCGCTAGTCTTGCAAATCTTCAGACTATCCTGAAGTGAACTAACTGCATCATTGGAACTAATCCGGAAGATGTTACCAGGTTTTGAAGCAAGGCTGTAGACAGTGGAATTGGCCTCCACATCAGAGAGGGCGACAACAAATACCTCAGCTTTAGCATGCAGTCGACCAATGTTTGCATCGATAACCTCCCTATCCTTCTCTGTAGCGAACCCATCTGTGAACATGATGACCACGTTGTGAGCATTCGGTCGGTCGCCTTCTGACAGTGTGAAAACTGAATTAACAGCCACATTGATAGCCTCGCCAAAGTCCGTAGAAGAACCGCTTTCGTATGCCTCGTTCTTGATAGCTGCCAATACGCCTGACTTACTGTTGCTGTATTCATTCAAACTGAATACCACTCTGGCGTTTGTAGAAAACACCATATATGCAACATAATCAGCATAATAGTTAATGGTTAAAGGACTTATCAAACTCTCTTGAAATTGTGTCACTCTGTTAAAGGCGGTTTTGCCAACGGAGAGAGATACATCTTCCATGATGAGAATGTCTTGTCGATCTCGACCGCAAGCTGCAAAAAAGAAAACACGTGCAAAATACAAAGGTTGTTCCTTGTATGTTGATGAAGGGAGGTATCGATGGTGATTGTTTTTGTCTTTTATAAAGTGAGTGTTACAGAGTTTGTAGTGATGTCACTTAACAGCGCCATATAGCTGAAATATTGCTGAGTGCGGCGTGTTTCAGCTTTACACATTTAAGAAAGAAAGTTCACATTGTGGTGGTTTACTGGGGTCTGAACTCTTTGTTCCGGCGTTCACACAGGATTTTATCTTATATCGTTCAAAACGTTCATCCTCCAGTATTGACAGCTGCAGGTAACCAGGCTCAAATGAACAGTATCAACCCAGCTGTCGTTCATTTCCCGATGAAAGTCAGTATGTCGCGTGATTACGCTGTCAACAGAGTGGACAGTTACAGAACAGTCAATATATTTCAAGCCAATCACATCACGGATTTGCTCAAGTGAAACACTGCCTTCAACAAATACAACTTCGATCCTTATATACTGACAGTTACATGAATAATAACAAAACAACAAATCTGTAATCCTCAAAAGCAAACCACCTCAATGTTAAATACATTTCTTATATAAATTCGTGTTTTGTAGTGTAAGAGATAGGTTTTGTTAATTAAAATGACATTTTAACAGTTGCATGATTAAAAGCCAAACATTCCATTCAAATACCACATGAAATCATAATGAACATCAACGCTTACAACTTTAATCTTCAATCAAACCACCACAATGTGAATTTCGTATTTTGAAGTTTTAGGGATACTAATTCAACTGTGACGCACATTTTGGCGATTTATGTAACCAGCTAGTACTGAATGTAGTGACCCAATAGCGGTGTATACTTCACATTTACGCAAAACAAAGTAATTCCAATTCCATGAATAAATACAGAAATCCTCACTAATCAATGAGAGTTAATTTTATGAACATAATATCAGAAATGACGTTTAATCAACGCATATGGTTACAGTATTGTTTGGTTCATTTGCATTAAATAAACTACTGACAAACATGCGGCGCATGAATACTGAGAGTGAGCAACATTCAAAATGGAAACTGCAAGAAATGAACGCCTCGTACAAAGCAGATACATATTGCCGGATTAATTTGGGTTTGGATTTTTCACATTGTATATGAAATTACAGTTGTTGAAAATGCCTTGTGACATCATGCCACTTGTTGGGTCTGCAATGTTTGACGTGAATTGGGACTGGGAGGACGCTCTCAGAAGGTCAGTTTAATATGTTGACATTTTTCAGGATAATTACTTCATGTAGTGTGAACGTGTAAGTACGTGTTCTAATGAAACCTTCTGTGAAAAGGAAAGGTTAATTCATTATCCGACATTGCCGATGCTGAAGATTGTTTTAAGCTGGAGGAACAATAGAAAATGGTTCCACACAGGGATTCTACATGGAAAGTAGTTCCGGTCAGAAATCGTGCAAATTGTAAGTTGGGATCAGCAAATACAGCAACCAAATCAGCGAGAACCCTCCAAACTCCAAAATAAGTTGTTTAAGAAATACAGTTCGCTCTACCACCATGTATAGTGTAATAAAACACAATTTCGCCCTGAACTATTATAGTTAAAAGTACGAGGACGCTTGCGTGGTAGAGCGAACTGTATTTCTTTTCAAAGATGCCAAATTTAATACTTTCTAAGGATAATTACGATTAATTTAAGGCAGAAAACAAACGACGGTGACGGTGACCTAAATTAAGAATCCTCGCACAGGGCTAACAGGCGCGCTGTTCTATTGATGTGTCTGCCCCCTTTGTTAAGACAAACGTTACCAGAAAAAACAAATGATAACAGTTTGATGACGGTTTACGTTCGGATTAAATATCTTCTCTGAATAATTAAATCAGCGAGAACCCCCAACTCCAAAGTAAGAAGTTGTATACAGATAACATTTGTTACAGTTTTACACAAATGTAGATAACCATTGATACAGTGTTTGTGATATGCAGATACCTATGTTGCAGTGCTATACTTGTACATTAACGTACGATGTTGCACATACATAGATAAAGTTTGTCATAATCCAATACAAAAACTCTATTCGAGAAATAATATCTCTTAGAATGTCCGTTCTTGATGAATATTTGTTCACAGTACAATATGACGTCACAGGGTACACATCAGGTCACAGTTTACGCAGTATATATACTAGTGTGGGGAGAGGGTCAACTTATCCGTGTCCCCAACTGAGAAAGTCTGAGGCCTACATCATCCCGGGTATCTTCCTACTTCCTACATAGTGCACACATGCTTAAATACTCGGCGTCACTAATGAAGGGTCAAGCTGTTCGTAACACTGTTTCCTAAAAATTGCAAAATCTTCCTTTTGAGTATTTGAAATATATACAACTGATTGTTTTACAAACTTTCTTCACAATTTGGAAAAATACATCAGGCCCTTGTAATGTCAATATTATGTTCTTTAACGTCCGATACATTCTGTTACACATGGCACATTTTTATTCAAATTGTCAATATGGAAATCCACATGCCACTTAATGTCAGTGATTTGCACGTGCAAGTCGCTCTAACCATGGAAAGTGGAGGACAATACACATGCATTGAGGCTTTTATGGTTGACCCTCTTTACTCCAAGACGACAAAGCAAGGCTTCATAGGGCCAGGATTGTCACGGAATTGCCTAGGCAGCAGGGTGGAGAGCGGATGGAGTGACCAGCATGCTCCCAAGACCTCAACCCAATTGAGCATGCCTGGGACGAGGGACGAGGTACGAACTCGTTCGACGTGTGTACACACGTCACCCATCACCCATCACCAGTGAATTTCTCAGGACTCCTCAGAGATCTAGTAGAGGAATGGAATGCAATTCCACAAGCTTTCTATATGAACTTGATAAGGAGCATGAGAACAAGGTGCACCTGCGTCTTGGACGTGGGAGGAGGGCACACAAGATATTGAATGACCGAGTGCTTCATGTTTGTCATTTTCGTTTTGGGGGGCTGGTCTATACAACTGATAATTGCTAGTGCTGTTTGAACTGTCTGTATGTCACGATATGTCACGTTTGTCAACATTATGATGACACTCTTAGTGTTATTATTTCTGAGAAACATGTCTGTACATATATATCATTTGACCCTTGACAACTATCAATGACGCCCAGTAAATGATAATTAAAAGAGACGTAAAATCAAACTCATTCCAACACTGCCAATGTTAAACTTACTTGTACAGTTCCGACCTGTGAAACCGGGAGCACAGGTGCACTTGTACTCAAGTTTGCTTGACTTCCCTGAGTCTCTGCATGTGCCTCCATTAGCACATGGATTGCTAGCACAAGGATCATTGTTGACTGCAAATTGAAACATAAATGCCTTTCAAAATGAGAACAACTACTTAATCAGGGTCATGGTTTTAAATACACGGGGCGGTTTTTGAAAAGTGATTATCAGACTGTAGATCAACATGACAGTTTTGAAACGTGATTATCAGACTGTAGATCAACATGACATTTTTAAAACGTGATTATGAGACTGTAGATCAACATGACAGTTTTGAAACGTTATTATCAGACTGTAGATCAACATGACAGTTTTGAAACGTGATTATCAGACTGTAGATCAACATGACAGTTTTGAAACGTGATTATCAGACTGTAGATCAACATGACAGTTTTGAAACGTGATTATCAGACTGTAGACAGGGGATGGTAGACAGGATAAAAGTGTGTGCCAGTATTTTTTTAGACGTGATTATCAGGGTGTGACCGGTATGAGAGTTTCTAAAGGTTGATAATGAGGGTGTGGACGGTATGACAGTGTATGTCAAGTCTCAACCTGTAACATGGCCGAAATTATTTCATCTGAAAACTTTGATTTTGTGTATAACACGTCCATATTTATGTAAGTGAGAAAGTGAGTATGGTTTTACGCCGCTTTTAGCAATATCCCAGCAATATCACGACGGGAGACACCAGAAATGGGCTTCACACATTGTACCCATATGGGGAATCGAACCCGGGTCTTCGGCGTGACGCGCGAATGCTTTAACCACTAGGCTGCCCCTCCGCCTCAATATTTATGTAAAATCCAACCGATAAGAGACATTTAATAGATTAACTCAACGACAAGCGAAATTCATGCAACAAGCTGTATTATCTGCCTGTGGCCTTTCTCCCAAATAAATTGTCTGTCTCGGTTACAAGACGTACATACATTGATGAATTGCTCACAGCATTGACACCTAATGTGTTAATACCGTCCTGATACTTACAACATTGGTCAATGCTAAAACTTACAAAAACAGAATCCTGATCTTCTGTGGGACGTCTTGAGATAATATATCTCTTTATTGCCACACATCCTCGTGGAGATCGTATACGGCCTGTAGCATTTCCTCACCCAGACCTTGTTGCACATCGTGGATTTGTTCCCGGTTTTCCCTTAAAGAAAACTGAAAAGCTACATTAAATTCAAATGCATGTAATATGGTGCATTAAATTGTGCTCACTATTTACTTGCAGTTCAGAAGATCTTAATGAACAATACTTGTAAGAGACAGAGCGAGCGAGTTCCTGATAATGCTAACATTACTTTTAAGGCAGATTGCACAGTGGTACAAACACATGTCATTGCATCAACACAACACAAAAACATTAACGCGTAACATCAGAAGCTACAGGGCTTCGTCGTACATCTGTGATATCACACACAATCACACATCTAACCACCCTGTAACCCCATGTTGTCCCAAACTATCACACCATCCAACCACAATGTAACCCTATGTTCTCCCAAACTATCACACCATCCAACCACAATGTAACCCCATGTTCTCCCAAACTATCACACCATGCAACCACAATGTAACCCCATGTTCTCCCAAACTATCACACCATCCAACCACACTTTGTGACCCTATGTTCTCCCAAACTATCACACCATCCAACCACAATGTAACCCAAAGTTCTCCCAAACTATCACACCATCCAACCACACTGTTGACCCCTATCTTATCCCAAACTATCACACCATCCAACCACACTGTGACCCCATGTTCTCCCAAACTATCACACCATCCAACCACAATGTAAACCCCATGTTCTCCCAAAACTATCACACCATCCAACCACAATGTAACCCCATGTTCTCCCAAACTATCACACCATCCAACCACAATGTAACCCCATGTTCTCCCAAACTATCACACATCTAACTACACTGTAACCCCATGTTCTCCCAAACTATCACACATCTAACTACACTGTGACCCCATGTTCTCCCAAACTATCACACATCTAACTACACTGTGACCCCATGTTCTCCCAAACTATCACACATCTAACCACACTGTGACCCCATGTTCTCCCAAACTATCACACATCCAACCACACTGTAACCCCATGTTCTCCCAAACTATCACATCTAACTACACTGTGACCCTATGTTCTCCCAAACTATCACACATCTAACTACACTGTGACCCCATGTTCTCCCAAACTATCACACATCTAACCAACTGTAACCCCATGTTCTCCCAAACTATCACACATCAACTCCACCACGTGACCACATGTGACCCCATCACTCATTCTCACACAATGTTATCACACACACACCATGTAAACACAATGTGACCCTATGTTATCACACACAATCCATCACATGTTACCATGTAATCCACACAATCACACCATGTAACCACATCTGACCCTATATCACACACCATCACACAATGCAACAACACCCTATGTCCCACAAATCTACATGCAGTTGAGAAGAGTGAGTGGCGACGGTCTTACCTCTTCTGTAGACAGGGATTTGGGTGCCACATCGATTGGTTCCTCCTGGATCCCGGTTAAGCAGTTCCCATTTCCCGGGGCCGCATACCAACCAGGTGTTAGTTTATAGTCGTCGATAATGATTGGTCTTCCTGATGTCTTTGGGTCGCGATTCTCGATGTTCTCAAGTAGTGTATAGTTCTTGCATGGATCTGTCCGGAAGGTATGAACACAGATGTTTAGGAACTATGTACCAGGCAATCTGTTTAGACTTGGTTGGTCGGTTGGTCTGGTGTGTAACGCCGCACATCAGCAATATTCCAGCTATATGGCGGCGGTCTGTAAATAATGGAGTCTGGACCAGACAATCCAGTGATCAACATCATCTACGCAATTGGGATACAATGAAAGACTAGGCCTACCTGCTGTAACTGGCGACTGTGCAGCACTCAGACATGGTCTCGGCATATACTTATATATTGCCTAACTGGTAAACAATTACAGTAAGTACTACAGACATGTAGCTGGAGTACAGCTGAAAGCGGCGTTAAACAACAAACAAACACACCAAGTTCTAACTATACTTTTGTGAACAACAGGTGCTGGACATTTGGCTAGAATTCAGATGACATTTTGAATAGAGTTTTGTTAGAATGAGGGGGTCAAGTGGTTGGAAATCGGAATTCCAAGCAGTTAGATGTAATCATGTTACCAATAAAATCGAAGGACATTATCCCGAGGTGTGGACAGAATGGCCTTCTTTAGTACAGCCAGGTTACTTCATGTCATTTTGCAGACACATTATAACCTGAGTGTTCACTTAGTACCTTAACAAGGCTACACGTCATGATAAATATGGTAGAAATGTACACAGAGTAAGGTGAGATTGTGAGTGAATCCTGTCCTTCGCGGTATCAAAACTCTAAACACTTAGGAGTGAAATCTGATCAGCATCTGAGCATGAAACACCACGTGACCCAGTGTGCTAAGCATAATCTTCATGATATTGGAAAGCTACGAACATCTCTCACAAATGATTCATACTGATGTATCTCTCGTCTTCGCTCGTATTGACTATGACAACAACCTCCTTGCTTAAGTAAAGCAAATCTTCGGACTTCAGAGTTTACGTGTGGCTTACAAATGTTACAACCATCCTGCACCATCATACCTCAGAGAACCCTCCACTAGATCAACATCTTAGTCCTCTCAGAACCCTCCACTCACAAGATCAACATCTTAGTCTGCTGCTCCTCACAGAACCCTCCACTCACAAGATCAACATCTTAGTCTGCTGTCCTCACAGAACCCTCCACTCACACGATCAACATCTTAGTCTGCTGTCCTCCCAGAACCCTCCACCCCACCTCCCACTCACAAGATCAACATCTTAGTCTGCTGCCCTCAGAGAACCCTCCACTCACAAGATCAACATCTTAGTCTTCTGTCCCTCACAGCCCTCACAGAACCCCACTCTCTGCTGCAAGATCAACATCTTAGTCTGCTGCCCTCAGAGAGAACCTCTCCACTCACAAGATCAACATCTTAGTCTACTGTCCCTCACAGAACCCCTCCACTCACAAGATCAACATCTTAGTCTGCTGCCCTCACAGAACCCTCCACTCACAAGATCAACATCTTAGTCTGAAGCCCCCAGAGAGAACCCCCACTCACAAGATCAACATCTTAGTCTACTCCCCTCACAGAACCCCCCACTCACAAGATCAACATCTTAGTCTACTCCCCTCACAGAACCCTCCACCCTCAGGATCAACAACTGAGTCTGCTCTCCTGACAAAATCAACATCTTATTCTGCTCTCCTTACAAGATCAACATCTTAGTCTACTGTCCTCACATACCTCTCCACTCACAAGATCAACATCTTAGTCTGCTGCCCTCACAGAACCCTCCACTCACAAGATCAACATCGTAGTCTGTTGCCCTTGCCCTTACAAGATCAACATCTTAGTCTACTGCCCTAAAGACAACTCCTGCCTCACAAGATCAACGTCTTAGTCTGCTGCCCTCAAAGAACCCACCACTCACAAGATCAACATCTTAGTCTGCTGTCCTCACAGAACCCTCCACTCACAAGATCAACAACTTAGTCTGCTGTCCTCACAGAACCCTCCACTCACAAGATCAACATCTTAGTCTGCTGCCCTCACAGAACCCTCCACTCACAAGATCAACATCGTAGTCTGTTGTCCTTACAAGATCAACATCTTAGTCTACTGCCCTAAAGAAAAAACTACACTCACAAGATCAACATCTTAGTCTGCTGCCCTCAAAAAACCCACCACTCACAAGATCAGCATCTTAGTCTGCTATCCTTAGAGAACTCTCCGCTCACAAGATCAACATCGTAGTCTGATGCCCCCATAGAACCCTCCACTCACAAGATCAATATCTTAGTCTACTGTCCTCACAGAACCCTCCACTTACAAGATCAACATCTTATTCTGCTCCTCCTTACAAGATCAACATCTTAGTCTGCTGTCCTCACAGAACCCTCCACTCACAAGATCAACATCTTAGTCTGCTGTCCCTCACAGAACCCTCCACTCACAAGATCAACATCTTAGTCTGCTGTCCCTCACAGAACCCTCCCACTCACAAGATCAACATCTTAGTCTGCTGCACCTCATAGAACCCTCCACTCACAAGATCAACATCTTAGTCTGCTGTCCTCACAGAACCCTCCACTCACAAGATCAACATCTTAGTCTGCTGTCCTCACAGAACCCTCCACTCACAAGATCAACATCTTAGTCTGCTGCACTCACAGAACCCTCCACTCACAAGATCAACATCTTAGTCTGCTGTCCTCACAGAACCCTCCACCACTCACAAGATCAACATCTTAGTCTGCTCTCCTGAGACAAAATCAGAACATCTTATTCTGCTCTCTTACAAGATCAACATCTTAGTCTACTCCCCTCACAGACCCTCCGCTCACAAGATCAACATCTTAGTCTGCTGTCCTCACAGAACCCTCAACTCACAAGATCAACATCTTAGTCTGCTGTCCTCACAGAACCCTCCACTCACAAGATCAACATCTTAGTCTGCTGCCCTCACAGAACCCTCCACTCACAAGATCAACATCGTAGTCTGTTGTCCTTACAAGATCAACATCTTAGTCTACTGCCCTAAAAAAAACTCCGCTCACAAGATCAACGTCTTAGTCTGCTGCCCTCAAAGAACCCACCTCCTCTCACAAGATCAACATCTTAGTCTGCTGCCCTCATAGAACCCTCCCACTCACAAGATCAACAACTTAGTCCGCTATCCTCACAAAACCCTCCACTCACAAGATCAACATCTTAGTCTGCTATCCTCACAGAACCCTCCACTCACAAGATCAACATCTTAGTCTGCTGCCCTCATAGAACCCTCCACTCACAAGATCAACATCGTAGTCTGTTGTCCTTACAAGATCAACATCTTAGTCTACTGCCCTAAAAAACTCCGCTCACAATATCAGCATCTTAGTCTGCTATCCTTACAGAACTCTCCGCTCACAAGATCAACATCGTAGTCTGATGCCCCTCATAGAACCCTCCACTCACAAGATCAACATCTTAGTCTGCTATCCTCACAGAACCCTCCTCGCAGACCTATATCCTCTAGTTTTTCTTTTACAACAGCATCTAAAAGGAACTGTCTTCCAGATATCATCAGAACTGCTAACTGCTGTCCCTTCTGTCAAATCACAGCTCATGACTCACTTGTTTAATCCATCCTACAATTTCCAGCCTTAAACTTTCTGATAAAGCACATCATGATTGTGAGTTGTGCTATGTAAATGCGTGGATTTGTATGATTAGGTAATATTTTCAGTATTGCATGTCAGATTAATCGTTAATGTAAGGTCCACAGAATGAACTGTATCCAGTACAGCCCGTGTGACAGATATCCATCTCTGGCTATTGATATTGATACTAGAGATCGATAATCGTTGCTCGATTATCTATAAACATTGGAGACGAAATTAAAGCAAAATACCACAAATGCCACAAATGCATACATACTTCACATCACTGGTGAGTTGTGACATGGTTTGCATGGATTATCAACAAAACATAACTGAAACTGAAACTTAAAGTCCTAAATTCCTAAATGTGTAAACAATTATTTTACTAAACGTTTTTATCACAAAAGTAATTTTACGATATCATCGTTATCACAGTTTTAATATCGATATTCATAAATAAATTCCCAACTACGATATTTCCGATTATCGATCACTTTAGCCAGCACTACCCATCATTTGTGAGACGAATAAAAATTTCCTTGTTTACCTACAGGATGTTTCTCAAAACAAAGGAACAGTTAGGAATGCACAATACCACTTATGTAACAGATAGTATATTTGGGATCACACTCTCTCAGTAAAGTGGAGATTCTATTGCTTTGGTGGATTGACTACCATCCGGAATTCAAACCTGCGTCTGAGTGAGTGAGGCACCCAGTCACCAGTTACAGTCAGCGATCAAACCAACTCAGCCATCGCAGCTTCCGCAAAATGGAAGTCTGATGACTGGTAGGTAGGAAACTGCAGTACAGGCATTGATGGGCCGAAGGAAATTAATGTAGTTTAGGACTGTGAGACGGACTGTGTTGTTCCGTATTTCATAAACTAAAAGCAAAGAGTTAGTTGGTTCAGTGGGTTTGAGCATCAGTAACCGACTTACCCTGACTGTGGCAGGAATGACAGATGAACAGGAGAAGCAGAAGGGCTGCCTAGAAGAATCAACATTCGAAACAAGTAATTGTCTGCTCCAAAATTAAACAGAAACATTTTGTGAAAAATGCTTATCTTTTTCAAAAACGTTCACTGATATTTAAAATTTGCTTAATGGCGGGTACCATTAAGCAAATTTTAAATATCAGTGAACGTTTCTTACAGCTCGATATTGATTGATTTATTTGTTGATAAGCAAATAAGGGGATCCTCAACTGACAACTTTTCTTCGTTCTTGGTATGTTGAATGCTGGCATGTTACTGAGGACTGTTGCAAGAAATGTTGCTTGTCATCCTTCGACTGTCAGCCGATTGGTCAGAATCAGCCAGTTAGTGACGTTTAAAGACCGTCAGCGTTCGGGTCGACCGTCACAACTCTTAGGGAAGATACAGACCTTCCGTGTCACACGACCTCATCAGGTTATGCCAATAGCGCGATTACAGAGTGGCGTCCATGTCGTCGTTTGTCAAGTCGCCGAAAACCGGTCAGGTGTAAAGTCAGACGACCTATCAGATGTCCTCTATATTGGTGTCTATATTGGACCTATCAGATGTCCCCTATATTGGTGTCTATATTGGACCTATCAGATGTCCCCTATATTGGTGTCTATATTGGACCTATCAGATGTCTCCTATATTGGTGTCTATATTGGACCTATCAGATGTCCTCTATATTGGTGTCTATATTGGTGTGTCTATATATTGGACCTGTGTCCTCTATATTGACCTATCAGATGTCCCCTATATTGGTGTCTATATTGGACCTATCAGATGTCCCCTATATTGGTGTCTATATTGGACCTATCAGATGTCCTCTATATTGGTGTCTATATTGGACCTATCAGATGTCCTCTATATTGGTGTCTATATTGGACCTATCAGATGTCCCCTATATTGGTGTCTATATTGGACCTATCAGATGTCCCCTATATTGGTGTCTATATTGGACCTATCAGATGTCCTCTATATTGGTGTCTATATTGGACCTATCAGATGTCCTCTATATTGGTGTCTATATTGGACCTATCAGATGTCCTCTATATTGGTGTCTATATTGGACCTATCAGATGTCCTCTATATTGGTGTCTATATTGGACCTATCAGATGTCCCCTATATTGGTGTCTATATTGGACCTATCAGATGTCCCCTATATTGGTGTCTATATTGGACCTATCAGATGTCCTCTATATTGGTGTCTATATTGGACCTATCAGATGTCCCCTATATGTCTATGGTATCTATTGGTGTCCTATATGGGACCTATCAGATGTCCCCTATATTGGTGTCTATATTGGACCTATCAGATGTCCTCTATATTGGTGTCTATATTGGACCTATCAGATGTCCTCTATATTGGTGTCTATATTGGACCTATCAGATGTCCCCTATATTGGTGTCTATATTGGACCTATCAGATGTCCTCTATATTGGTGTCTATATTGGACCTATCAGATGTCCTCTATATTGGTGTCTATATTGGACCTATCAGATGTCCCCTATATTGGTGTCGTGACTGGTGGCCGAGCTCTATATTGGTGTTTGGCGCTACAGAATATCTTGGAGGAAATACCGTTTGGCGGAGGTTCACTGATGGTATGGAGGTGCCTTTCTGTAAACGTGATCCTGTGGTGATCAGACAAAATCTGATCTGTACAACAGTGCATCACATTTTGATGATCATCCCGTGATCACAAGGCCAGTCATCATGGACGACAATGGTAGGCTCCATCGTGCACGTACCGGTGGTGATTTCTCATGTCAAGTGTCGGTGGCTACTCTACCATAGCCTGATCTGAATCCCATAGAGAGTGTGTGGACATTATGTGTCGCAAACTTCGCTAGATATATTGGAACAAGCCCTCTATCCAAAATGGAACGCAATGCCTCACCGTCAAATCCAACGTCTGATACAGTACAGTTACTGAGGAGGCGGGTCAAGATGTTATTCTGTTTACGGAGGTTACACTAGCTATTGACATCGTGCTCGGTTACTGATAGTAATATCAATTCTTGAGGTTTTATTGCCAGAATCTTGAAAATGACCGGACGTGTTAACGTCAAGCGACCATAGTGATCAGCACTACAAATGACTTAATTCTTAATCATGTTTGCTGCAGCTCGTCCCATATGTATGGAATCCTGGAATTGACATTGTCGCGTTGTCGCCCTCGCGTTGTCGCCCTCTCAAATACAAGCAAAATGAGGCAAAATGAACCAAAGCGCGACAATGCGACATTTCGGCCATTTGTCGCATTGTCGCAATGTCGCATGTTGCTTTTTGAATAATATTTTTTATTCGTCCAAAGGGCGACAAAGCGACATAGCGACAATTTTCAAAGTCAAAATATGTCGCGTTGTCGCATGGTCGCCCTATCTAAGATGTGTAAAAAGCCTAAAATTGACTAAAACGCGACACGCGACAATGCGACAAATGGGCGAAATGTCCGCGTTGTTGCATTGTCGCGCTTTGGTTAATTTTGTCATTGCTTGTTTTGAGAGGGCGACAACGCGACATGCGACAACGCGACAATGCCCTTCTCGGATTCCATACATAAGTGTTTGATTGTGTTTATGTCTGGAATGACCGGAATGACTACTCCAATGGTCACATGCTCGAAGTTTTCATCAACACTAGAGTCGGGTCGTACTCGTCCATGAGAAGGAGGTTCTGTCGGAGTGCAGCAGTATAACACCAGGAGCACACCCAGAACGTCAACCCTGTAGCAACAATCGTTGTGACCCACTGAGGCAAACGACTGAGTCCCTTCAAAGTAGCTTTCTGCCACACACAGTCTCAATGGTCTGTGAAGTCTAGACAGAGTTTCGATTCATCAGTGAAGACTACTGGATTCTAGTCCAGGTCTGTTGAAACAACAAACTCAGCCCATCCTAAACGTGCCTGTCTGTGACGCCAGTTCATTGGAATCCGTGAGTGGAGACCAACCCCATGCCACACGCAATGCATGAGTGGAAATGGTTACGGCACTTCTGGTTCCACAAGGCATATCGGAATGTGGAGCAGCAATGAAGTCGTCATGCTGAACACATGTCTTCCGGGTGTGTGGTGAAACGCTGTCGACCACCTGAATGTCACTAGGTAGCTGATCCAAAAGTCTGATATCAATTTCATATGTCCTGTGGATGCTGCATCGACTGACACCAAAAACGAACGACGTCTTTGGCGCTGAGGAGTATAAGTGCATTCGGTTGCTGCAATTCACACTAGCAATTGTTGTAGTGCTGTTTGATAATGATGTGCAACGATTCCCTCACAATATACCAATTCACAGGTTTTGTGCACCGGGGTATTTCAGTCGTGTTGAATCATTTCATCATCGGGACTTTGCCCAAAAGCTTTGTAGTCATTTTAGCAGATGGACACCTTGGCGAAAATTCCCGTTCTTATTCTCCCTTCTCATCATCCCTCACCCTCCCTTCTCCCCTTTCATTATCCTCATCCTCCCCTTCTCCTTTTTCATTATCCTCATCCTCCCCTTTCTCCCTTTTCATTATCCTCATCCTCCCTCTCTCCTTCATCCCTTCCTCCTCCCCTCACCTCCTTCTCCTTCATCCTCCATTATCCTTTCCTCCCTTTCCATCATCCCCTCAACCCCTTTTCTCCTTCCTTTCCATCATCATCCTTCCCTCCCTTCCTCCCTTCCCTTCTCATCATCCTCATCCTTCCCTTCTCCCTTTCCCCATCCTCCTCACCCTCCCTTTCTCCCTTCCCCATCATCCCTCACCCTCCCCTTCTCCCTCCTTTCATCATCCCTCACCCTCTCCCTTCTCTCCCTCCTTTCATCATATCCTCACCTCCTCCTTCTCCCCTTCTTCATCATCCCCCACCCCTCCCCTTCTCCTTCCATCATCCCTCACCCTTCCCTCATCCCTCCCTCTCATCCCCCTCCTTCTTTATCCCTCATCCTCCCTTTTCCCATCCTCATTATCCTCCACGCCCCACTCCCTCTTCTTCCTTTCTCCATATTACCTTCCACGTCCCTTTCTCCATCCTCTCATCCTCATCCATCCTTCCTCCTCCTCCCTCATCATCCCTCCACCTTATACTTCCCTTTCTCCTTCCACCTTTTCTTCCTCCATCCTTCCTCCTAACCTTCCCCGCGTGCCGACGGATTCTCCATCCTCCTCATCATCCCTCACCCACTTCCCTTCTTCCGGAGGCGGATGCGCGAGGACACATTTTGGAGCAATAATTCTAAAAGATCTGTTTTCCTGTGCAAGCGGGCATCTCATTGTATTACTACTTGAGAGAGATCGATCTGTTTCATAAATTGTAACAATGTAATGTGAATGACAGATTGCTTCTTTTTAAATTGGTGCTTTGATATTTTCTATTTGTAAATAATAATGAAATGAACAAATATATTTAAAACACACATTTGGACTTAAACTGTATATAAATGCAGAATTGGGTTCAAACATTTGGACTTTGGACTTAAACTGTATATACTAGCCACATAAAGAAACTGTGCATTGTCAAAATATCATCCCAGTTGATAAGTACGATAACAATGTCAAAGGTACATATAAACTGTAATGGAGGGATCATGAGACCATAACAAGTCGGGAGAATTTCAATTGAAAAGTCAATCACAATGACGTCACGAGTCCACAAGCGGGACAGGGGTCTAAAGACCATGTCACAAGCTCAATAACGGGTATGTCCACCATCGGCATTGAGAACAGCAGTGCATCGACGACGCATAGAGCCTATCAAACGTGCAAGGAAGGCTTGTGGGATGTCACGCCAGATTCTCTCAAGTTCTGTTGCAAGGTCAAGGACGTTATCTGGCGGATGAGGAAGACGGCGTAGACGTCGATCCATCTCGTCCCAAACATGCTCTATCGGGGAGAGATCCGGTGAATTTGCAGGCCAAGGCAGTAAGTCAACGTTGTGGTGTTGCATGAAATCCATAGCAACCCTTGCCGTATGAGGGCGGGCATTGTCCTGTTGGAATGTTAACCCAGGGAAATGACGTTGCAGAAAAGGGAATTGCAACAGGTCGAAGAATCTGATCCCTGTAGTCCACACCCAGTTAAGT